TTCTCTTATCTCTTTAACAGGAGGAGACTGTCTCCTCCTGTCTTGTTAAAGAGGAGACTGTCTCCTTTTATCTTCTGGCTAGGAGGAGACTGTCTCCTCTTATCTCTTTAATAGGAGGGGACTGTCTCCTTTTGTGTCTCTCAATTAAAACCCGTTCGTGCCTGCCCCTAAAGGGATACACTTTGTCCTCTATCAAGAAGAGAGAGGAGACTGTCTCCTCTATTCTTTCTATAAAGAAACTGTCTCTTCTTTCTATAAAGAAACTGTCTCCCCTCTTATTTCTGTAAGGAGACTGTCTCCTCTTTTTTTTCTGTAAGGAGACTGTCTATCCTATTATCCCTATAAGGAGACTGTCTCCTCTCTTACTTCTGTAAGACTGTCTCCTCAGCCCCTAGAAAGGACGTCCTATCTCTAATAAGGGAGGAGACCCTCAGGGGGGCCCCCATGGGGGCCCCCACTGCGGAGACAGCAGCAGCCCCTTCCCGTTACAGTGGAGACAACAAATAAAGAGACACTTAAACTGAGGACATCGGGTGAAAGGAGACACACAGACCTCCAACAGCATACTCCCGCCATCCCTCTACTTGCTGTAGCTGCAGCAGCAGCAGCAGCAGCAGAGGCACGAGGCATCAGGCCGCTACAAGCACCCTCTGCCTCTCCCTTGAAAAACTAGATGCTGCTGCTGCTGTTGTTGCCGCTGCTGTTGCTGCTGCAGCAGCAGCAGCAACAATAGGGCGGGGTGTTCATGCGGCCTCTGCTTCCCCAGAAGCAGAGGCAAACCGCTGCGAGCGCCGGACACCTCCAGGGGAGGAGACATGCTGGGATCCGCCTCCCTTTGAGGCGATCCCGCCTCCCCTAGGGCACCCCACACCTCCCCTGGGGGCTCCTCCTCCCCCCCTGGGGGGCCCCACAACTCCTCTGGGGGCCCCCCCAACGCCTCTTAGGCGCGGCCGCCCCCGCACCCCTCGGCGAGGGGGGGCTCCTGCTGCTGTACCCTTATCTCCCTCCTCTATACTTGCAGAGAGACTCTGGCTGTCAGCAGCAATTATGAATGAAGCAGGTGCTATGCCTCTGCTGCTGTTGCTGCTGTGGCTGCTGCTGCTGCTGCTGCTGCTATCGGTACTGCAACTGCTGCTACTGCTGCTGCTGTCGGTACTGCAACTGCTGCTGCTACTGCAGCTGCTGCCATCTGTACTGCTGCTGCTGCTGCTATCTGTGCCGCTGCCGCTGCTGCTGCTGCTGCTGTCTCTGGGGTCTCCTGTCTCGCTAGTCCTCCTGCTGAGGCCCCCACGGCGACGCCTTCCGGGCCCGGATCTGCTGGTTTCTGCAGCAGCAACGCATGCACACATCAATTATCAAGATATTATTAAACAAGTGCTGCTCTAAGTCTGCTGCAGCAGCAGCAGCAGCTGCTGCTGCTGCTCTTGCTGCTACTACTGTTGCTGTTCACGTGTGCTTCAGGCCCCTTTGAGGCTTTACCTGTAGGCGGGCCATCGGACCCTCGGCTCCATCTTGCTGCAGCTGCATCATTCTCTGCTGCTGCTGTTGCTGCTGCTGCTGCTGCTGGGGTGATAGCAGTGTAGGAGGCAGCAGCAGCACTCTTAGGGCCCCCAGGAGGCTCGGGGGCCTCCACAGTCTCGTTGGGGGCCCCTCGAGTGGCTTCTGCTGTCTGCTGCTTACTGCGGCAATCACTAGAAGCCCTGCTGCTGAATGGGATGCTGCTGCTGCTGCTGCTGCTGCTGTCGCTGCTGCTGCTGCTGGTGCTACTGGCATCAATCCAGGCCGCCTCTGTAAGGGGCTCAAGAGCAGGCGCAGCACCATGTGTTGCTGCGGCTGCTGCTGCTGCTGCCGCTGCTGCTGCTGCTGCTGCTGTTGCTGCGTCCGTTTCTGCTCCTGCTGCTGTTGCGTCTGCTGCTGCTGCTGCTGCGTCTGCTCCTGCTGCTGTCTGGGTATTGCTCCAGTTGGGGGGGGCCCACATACCGAAGCCTAATATAGGTGTCTCTCCAGCAAGGCGAGGAGACACCCGAATGGGGCCCCCTGGGGGCCTACCTCTCCTTGCGCGTTTGCTGCCTCTGGACCCTCTGCCTGAACCACGGCCTCCTCCCCTGCTTCCTTTCGTATCTGCTGCTGCTGCTGCTGCTGCATCTGCTGCTGCATCTGCTGCTGCTGCTGCTTCAGACTCCTCCTCAGCGCGCTCAGGAGTCCCTTCAACTCGCTTCCGCCGCCGCCGGTCAGCCTGCTGTTTTGCTGCTGCTGCGGCTGCTGCTTCTGCTGCAGTTGTTGGTTCTGCTGCTGCTGCTGCTGTTTTGTCTGGGGGCCCCGCCGCTGTCGCTTCTTCTGGTGCTGCCGATGCTTGTGATGTTTGGGTTGCCCCTGATTCTTTTGCTGCCGCTGTTGCTGCTGTTGCTGCTGCTGCTCCAGCAGCAGCAGCAGCCTTATCAGCAGCAACACGAAAGGGAGACGCAGAGTCTGCTGCTGTGGCAGCTGAAGACACCGCAGGCGCCCGACGTGCAGCAGCAAGCAGCCTCGGTACTTTGGGTGAAGCCTTTGCTGCTGCTGGCTGGGGCCTCCGAGGCTCCTGCTGCACGAGCTGTTGCTGCTGCTGCTGTTGCTGCTGCTGCTGGCGCTGTTGCTCCTGAGGTTGTTGCTGCTGAGATGGCTGTTCCTGCAATTGCTGCTGCTCCGCCTGCTGCTGCTGTTTCTCCGGTCGCTGTTGCTGCTGCTGTTCCTGTTGCTGCTGCTGTTCCTGTTGCTGCTGCTCTTTCTGTTGTTGCAGCTGCTCTTTTTGCTGTTGCAGCTGCTCTTTTTGTTGCTGCTGCAGGTGTGGCTGCTTGTCCTGCTGCTGCTGACGAGGGGTTTGCTGCTGTGGCCTTGGGCCTTGTTCTTCTTCCGAGCTGCTGCTGCTGCTGCTGCTGCTGCTGCTGCTGCTCGTCAGCAGACGGCGCAGCCGCTTGCGGGGGACTTGCTTCTGTGCAACAGCAGCAGCAGCAACAGCAGCAGGAGTGGCAGAGGACTGGTGGGGCTGCATTGTTGGGCGAGATTTTGCTGCAGCGCGGCTCATGGCCCCTGCTGCTGCTTTGCTCGGGGTTGCTGCTGCTGCTGCTGCTGCAGCGGAGTCAGCAGCAGCAGAAGTAGCAACTTCCACGCTGCTGCTGCTGCTGTGGCTGCGGTCGGCAACAGCAGCAGATGCTGCAGATATTAACTTAACGCTAGCATCTGTTGCTGAAGCGCATGCAGCTTTCAACTGCTGCTGCTGCGAGGCTCTGCGGCTGCTGCTGGTGCTGGTGCTGGTAGCAGAAGCAGCAACACCAGCTGCTGTTGCCGATGTTGCTTCAGCGGGGGTCGGCTTTCGTGCTGCTCCTGCTGCTTCTGCTGCTGCTGTAGCTGTTGCTGCTGTTGCTGCTGCTGCTGTTGCCGCTGCTGCTGTTGCTGTTGCTGCTGCTTCTGACTTTAAGCTGCGCGTGGCGCTGACAACAGCCTCAGCAAATGCAGGAGGAAGGCCCTCCGTGTCCTGCAGCGGCTTCTGAGCAGCAGCAGCAGCAGCAGAAGCAGCAGCTCCTGCTGCTGCTGCTGCTCCTGTTGTTGCTGCTGCTGCTGCCCCAGGAGGTGACGGCAGCCGGATGACCGCCGGGAGCAGCCGGAGTGCGGAAACCGCACAGCGCATAGTTTGCTGCTGCTGCTGCTGCTGTTGCTGCTGTTGCTCCTGCAGCTGCTGCGTAGATACAGCAAGGAGCAGCGCTAGAACAGCCCCTCCATCTGGGGTTTTAAAGCGGCAGGAGACAGCAGCACGCTGCAGCGCAGCGTCCATACATCCGAACTGCAGCAAACAGCAGCATGCGTCAGCAGCAACAGAAGCTGCTGCACACAACTGTGGAGCTACCTGCTGCAACAGCGGCAGGTCTTCTTCTGAGGTGTAAGGCAACACTGCTGTAACAGGGCCCCCACTCTTCTGCTGCTGTTGCTGCTGCTGTTGTTGTTGCTGCTGCTGCCGCTGCAGCCGCTGCTGCACCGCCAACAAATCTGTTAAAGAGAATGTTGCTGCTGCAGCTTCACAGAGAGCCCGTAGACCTGTTGGGTCGGGCAGCATTATCAAGGTAAAGCCATACACCTGCAGCAGCAGCAGCAGCAGCAGCAGCAGCAAGTCACCAAGGCCACATGCAAGCACAATTGCACAACGAAACTGCAGCAGCAACAGCAGCATACTTACAACAACAGCAGAGCACGTGCAATAGCAGAAGCACAGTTGCTGCGCTTCCAGTAGCAGCACGCATGCAGCAGCAGCAGCAGCAGCAACAGCACACTTGCAGCAGCCGCAGCAGCAGGAAAAGCACATTTGCAGCAGCAGAAGCAGGAGCAGCAGCATCAGCACACTTGTAGCAGCAGCAGCAGCAGCAACAGCAGCAGGAGCGCACCATGCATTCTCCTGAGGAGAAGACGAGCCAGAGGCGTTTGGCTGCTTCTTCATTTTCTGTTTGCAGCAGCACAACTGAGGGCATCCCATTGCTGGGGGCTGCAGCAGCCCCTGCAGCAGCCCCCGGCGCAGCAGCAGCAGCAGCAGCAGCAGCAGAGACAGATGGGGTTGTGTTCTGTCTAAGGGCAGTGGGCGGCAAGGAGTTAAGAGCGCTTGAATCCGTTCCTAGAAGAAGAGACACATGCTTGATGCCTAGGAACTGCAGCAGCCTTTGCTGCTTGCTGCTGCTGCCCGCAAGAGAACCGTTGCTGCTGTTGCTGCTGCTGCTGTTGTTGCTGCTGCTGCAGGAAGGGACGAAAATGTCTCCTTTGCTGTCTCCTAATTGCTGACCCCGAGGAGACAACTCAAGCAGCTCTGCTAATTCATCTGAAGGAGACAGTGGGGGCCCCAAAGAAGAGACGCAGCTGGAAAGTTTCTGCTGCTGCAGCTGCTGCTGCAGCAGCAGCAGCTGCTGCTGCTGCTGCTTGAGCTGTTGCTGCTGGCTGCTGCTGCTGCTGCTGCTGCTGGGGGGTTCTGCTAGATAGGATGAAGACGTCAGAGGAGAGACGCCTCTCAGTCTATGCAGGCCTTCATCTGCTGTCTCCTCGGGTGAAGAGCCCAAAGAGCGCAGCCAAACCCCCGCAATTAAAGCAGCAGCTTGAGGTGTACGTACATCTGAAGGCAAGCCTATCACAGAGACCTTCTCTGTTCCTGCAGCAGCAGCAAACGCAACAAACTAACGCAATCCTGATCATCATGCTGCTCATGCTTACCCTTATGCTGCTGATGATGTTGCTGCTGCTGATGCCGATGCTGCTGCTCCTTATGCTGCTGCTAACGCTGCTGCTAATGCGGTTATAAACCCTCACAAACCCTTCTAAACCCTAACACACCCTAACAAACCCTAGTAAACCCTACTAAACCCTACTATACCCTAACAAACCCTACTATACCCTAACAAACCCTAACAAACCCTAATAAACCCTGATAAACCCTAATAAACCCTAGTAAACCCTAATAAACCCTAGTAAACCCTAATTAACCCTAATAAACCCTAATAAACCCTAACAAACCATCATAAACCCTAATAAACCCTAATAAACCCTAACCAACCCTAATAAACCCTAATAAACCCTAATAAACCCTAACAAACCCTAATAAACCCTAATAAACCCTAATAAACCCTAACAAACCCTAATAAACCCTAATAAACCCTAATAAACCCTCTATAAACCCTAATAAACCCTCTATAAACCCCACAAGCGCGTTACCTGGTATCCAGGGTTCTTCTTCAGGTGCGAGTCGATCAATTAAAAGCAGAGGCCGCAGTCTCTCTAAAGGCAAACGCCAAGCTGAGCGCAGCCCCTCGGAGGGGGCCGACTCCCAGCTGCTATCTGCTGCACCATCAAACACATCCTGAAACAGCAGCAGCAGCAGCAGCAGCAGAAGCAGAGCACAGCAACAGCACCTGCTAATGCGGTAATGCTATTGGGGTTTCAGAAGAAACAGCAGCAAAAACAACAGCAACAGCAGCAAATGCGGTGTTGCTGCTGCAGTTGGAACAGCAGCAGCAGCAACACCAGCAGCAGACACAGCAGCAAACGGAAAGGCCCCAGGCCCTCCCCACAGCAGCAACAGCCACAGCAAATGCAGCAGCAGCACCCAGCACACAGCAGCAGCAGCAGCAGCAACTGCAACAGTAACTGCAGCAGCAGCAACAACTGCAGCAGGAGGAATAACTGCAGTAGCAAAAACGAGTGCAGCCGCAGCAGAGAGTGCAGCAGCAACTGCAGCAGCAGCAGGAAGTGCAGCAGCAACTGCAGCAGCAGCAGGGAGTGCAGCAGCAACTGCAGCAGCAGCAGGGAGTGCAGCAGCAACTGCAGCAGCAGCAGACTACCTCGAGCGGCAGCGGGCTCTCCAGGTGCAAATCCTTTGGCCTCATCAACACCAGGGCCCCCTCATCGAGAGCGAAGGGCCCCGGTGCAGGTCTTCTGCTGCTGCTCTCCCCCTTCTGTGCTGCATGCGCTGCTGCTGCTGCTGCTGCTGCCGCTGATGCTGCTGCTGCAGACACGGACGCAGACCGACCTGTCCCCTGCTGCTGCTGCTGCCGCAGCAGACGGGAGCGATGGCCCTGCTGCTGCTGCATTAAACGCGGGTCCCTCTGGGGATCGTAGAAGAAAGAACCTTTGCTGCTGCTACTGCTGCTGCTGCTGCTGCTGCTCTCTAGGCCCTCCCCCCCACCGCCGAGGCCTGCGATACCCGCGAGTTCATCAGACACCTCAACGCCCTGCAGAAAGGGCATGGTGCTGCCTGTCCCTTCTGCTGCTGCTGCTGCTGCAGCTCCTGCTGCTGCTGCTGCTGCAGCTCCTGCTGCTGCTGCTGCTGCATTCCCTCTGTTGCCCCAGCCTCCTCCCCCCATCCAACCTCCCCCCATCTGCTGCTTTTGCTGCTGCTGTTGCTGCTGCGGCTGCTGCTGCTGCTGCTGTTGCTGCATATACAGCCTGCTGCCGCTGGAGTCTCGTCTCTCGCTTGTATGCGGGTAAGAGCCCCCCCTATATGAGCCTCCTCCAGAGACATTAAAATGTGTACGCTGCTGCTGCTGCTGCTGCTGCGGGTGCTGCTGCTGGCGCTGCTGCCCATGCCCCGGCTGTTGGTAGTTCTGGTGGTGCTGCTGCAAAGCAGCAGCGGCAGCAGCAGCAGCAGCAGCGGCAGCAGCAGCAGCAGCAGGTGCAACAGCAGCGTTTTGCTGCTCTCCCCCCAGGGGAAGAGGAGCTGTGCTGCTGCCAGCGTCCTGCCAGTGTCGTTGCTGTTGCTGCTGTTGCTGATGCTGCTGCAGCAGCAGCTGCTGTTGCTGCTGCTGCAGCGGAATAGCCTGAGGAGGCCCCCTTGAAGCAGCATCAGAGACACCTGATCCTGCGCTGCTTGATAGGTAGTTCGAGCTGTCTCCTCCAGCTAGCTGGCAGCTAGCTGCGCCTCTGTGATACCCCAGAGGGTCTGCAGGCTGTCGAAAAGGGTTGGGCCCTTTATTGCTGTTGGCGGCTGCAGCAGCAGCAGCAGCAGCAGCAGCAGCAGCAGCAGC